ATTGGCTTTTTTAACTGCTACGGCACAATGGCTAGAGCCTGTGAGGGTTTGGTCAACAATCACTCCCAGATCTTTCTCTTGTGGAGCACATTCCAGTTTAAAACCTCCCATGAAGTAATCCCGTCTAATGTTTTTATTACCTACATGTACTACTTTACATTTCGCTACATTAAATTTCATTTGCCACATTTCTGCCCAATTCTGGATTCTATCCAAATCATCCTGAATCACTTTAGTGGACTCTAAACTATTTGCCAAACCTCCCAATTTAGTATCATCTGCAAATTTCACTAATCTGCTCTCAATATTCCTATCAAGGTCATTCATGTAGATGAGGAACAGCAGGGGTCCCAACACCGATCCCTGGGGACGCCACTCCCCCACCATACCTAGCTCAGATGAGATACCACTGACCACCACTCTTTGTGTTCTGTCCTGCAACCAGTTTTGAATCCACTTCAGAATACCTCCAGTAACTCCAATGGAGCTCATTTTAAAAATTAGTCTCTTATGCGATACTGTGTCAACTGCTTTCTGAAAATCCAAATATATGATGTCATAAGCCCTGCTCTGGTCATAAGTCTTGGTGGCCTCTTCAAAAAATTCCAGAAGGTTTGTCAGGCATGACCTTCCTTTACGGAAACCATGTTGACTATCCCTCAAGATATTGTTACGTTCAAGAAATAAGTCCAGCTCATCTTTTATGATAGATTCCAATATTTTGCACACAATGCAAGTTAAACTGACTGGCCTGTAATTACCTGGCTCAGTATGGTCCCCTTTCTTATATATTGGTATTATATTACCCTGTTTCCAATCATTTGGTATTTCTCCAGTTTCTAAAGACCGTCTAAAGATGGCGGATAGCGGCTTAAAGATGATCTCACTAACTTCCCTGAGCACTCTAGGATATAAGCCATCAGGACCCGCTGCCTTATCTACCTTTAGTTTATGCAACTTGTCTAATACTACGTTATCCCTAAGCTCAATTTCCGCTAAATAATCTTGAGCATTGGACATGCCCTCTGGCCGAATAAAGACCCGCTCTAAGGTAAAATTCTCAACAAAGTAACCGTTTAAGGTGTCCGCAATATCCTTGTTATTATATAGCAGCGATCCATTTTTATTCTTTATGCACTTAACCTGCTCTTTGACTTTCCTTTTTCTAATACAGTACTGAAAGAAGCGCTTAGGGTTAGTTTTTGCCCCTTCTGCAATTTGTCTTTCATACAGTCTTCTAGCATTCCTCAGCTCTTTTTTGACCACAGCCCGCATTTTACAGTATTCGGCCTTAGTAATCTCATTGTTATCCTCTATGTACATCTTATAAAGATTCCTCTTTACCCTCAAACTCCTACGAATAGCTGCGGTCATCCACTGAGGATTCTGCTTTTTCAGCTTACTTTTGGACACCTTTGGAATGAATTTGCATTGTGAATCAAGTAAAACCCCTTAAATCTTTCCCACATCTCAGTTACAGACTCACAGTCCAGGAGTGTCTCCCATTTTATTTCACTTAGATATGAGCGCATCCTGTCAAAGTTTGCTCGCCTAAAATTGAAAATTTTTGTTTTTGAATACACTTTTTTAACTTCCCATGAAACCTCAAAATTAATAGTAGAGTGATCACTTGTCCCAAGTGGCTCCCCCACCTCAACATTGCTAATTCTATCTGGGTCATTACAGAGCACTAAGTCTAAAATTGCCTTCTCTCTTGTAGGTTTATTAACATACTGCACCAAAAAATTATCATTTATGACATCTAGAAATTCTTCCTCCCCCCCCCTGTCCTTTTCACCTTTTCCCAATCAATACCAGGATAATTTAAGTCTCCCATAATAATAGTCCCTCCTCCTCTACAAGCTTGCGTAATCCTCTTAAAGAGCATTTCATTGACTGTACTGTCCAAAGCTAGTGGTCGATAACATACACCTATGTTTAAACCAGTCTCGTGTTTGCCAGTGAGCCTGACCCAGATATCTTCGCAGGGCAAGGAATGTTCAATTTCAGGAATTTCCTGCACATTTATGTGTTCGTTCACATAGAGTGCTACACCCCCTCCTCGCCTATTGCATCTATCCTTCCTAAAGAGCTTATAACCTTCTACATTATATTCATCTCCATCCTCTTCACTAAGCCATGTCTCTGTAATCCCAACTGTGTCATAGCCTTCACTAATCATAACGGCCTCAAGTTCTCGAAATTTATTTTTTAATGCTTCTTGCATTTAGATAAAAACATTTCAGGTTATCACAAACGCTCTTCCCCTTCGATTTCCCATGTGCCCGCTGCTCAAAGCCCCTCACCACGCTTTTTTTTTGCTTTAAAAAATATATCATCAATAGTGCATGTAACGCTGTCAGCTTCCATCAGGGCAGTCTGCATTTCCCTCTGTATAACACTCTCTAACCTCCCTGCCCCCCAAGTCCCTAGTTTAAATAACTCTCTGCTACCCTCAACATACGCTGACCCAGTGCAAAGGTACCCCTCCGGTTCAGGTGTAGCCCATCCGGCTTGAACAGGTCACCCTGTCCCAGAAGTAGTTCCAGTGCCCCATAAACCTATACCCTCTTTCCTACACCAGGTTCAGAGCCACGTGTTAAACCTCCAGATAAAATTCTGCTTTCCTCTGCTTGCACGTGGTACCGGTAGAATCCCGGAGAACACTACCGTGGAGGATCTGCTCCTAAGCTTTTCAGCTAATTCAACAAATTTGCTTTGCAGAACCTCAAACCTACCCCCTACCTATGTCATTAGTCCCAACATGGACCATGACAACTGGATCCCTCCCCGCTCTGGCCAGGAGCTTGTCCGCAAGACGCTCAGGAGGTCTCCTACCTGGGCACCAGGCAGGCAACACACCGCACAAGACTCCTTGTCGCGAAACAGACTAAACTGTCTATTCCTCTAAGTATTGAGTCCCCCACTATCAATAACTCTCTTTTCTGAGGGGTAGAGGCCAACAGGGTGCCCTGCTGCTCATCAGTCCCCTCACTCTCAGGGTCAGGGGCCAATTCGAGTTCCTGCAAGGGCCGGAATCGGTTGGACACCTCAACTACTGGAGGAGCTGTCGCTGTACGGTGTGCACGCCCTTTCCTGCGCTGACGTCCTACCGTCACCCTACTTTCTCTCCCTGCCTGCTCTAGGGTCCCCACACCACCCTGCTTTGGCGTACAAACCATTTCTCTAAACGACATACTACTTAGTTCATCTAGGAACTCTACTGATTATGAACTATGTCGTGTCAGCCAACTGGCCCTGAAGATCAAGGATCTTGCTCTCCAGATGCTCAATTAGCTGGCACCGTGACAGACAAACCCACCCTGAAATCTCTTTCCAAAAGTGCGATCATCCTGCAACCGTCACATAGTTTTGGCCACATTTTGAACCCCCTACCTAATGACCTCGCTCACCCTAGATAACAAAGAAAATTACTAATGCCGAGACAGAAGCTCAGGAACCACAATTTATTTATTTATTAACCTGAGAAGCCCTAAGCAGCAGTCACAATAGAAACCGTGGGGAAACTATGTGAATGGATAATAAGCCTCTTTTTACAGGGGCTTAGTTTCAGTTAACAGAAATGAAATACCAAATTGAGAAACTCTATGGATAATAAGCACTCCTAATAAGCCAACTTGAATTTAACTAGTCCCGGTACTATTAATATACTAACCTAAAAATATCACAGGGCTTAGCTGAGAACCCAGATAAAAAAGACTGGCTACTACGCCCAGGAGAAACTGGAGGAGGGAGGAGGCGGAGCACTCTGGCAAAGCTTTCCGTTTAAATTCCAACCAAACCGAATGGACGACTAAAGTGACTGCTGCCCTACTAACTAAATACTAAATCTCAGATCCCCAGCCAAAAATGCAAACAGTAACTATCTAGCTAGCTAGCCACAAATACAACCAAGGGTAACCGAGAAAGGGTAAAGCCTCGGTTCCCTTTAATTAAAACGGACCGAATAAACAAGTCGTTTACTTAGTGAGCGAACTATACTCGGTATCTCCCCCAACAAGCTGTCGCTGAGCACTCAAACAAGCAGTTAAACTTTAATCAGCTGATCAAGGCACGGCAACTGGAGGAAAATAAAAAGATAACGTAATTTGCAATGCGTTTAATCAGAAGAGCCCTTCGATGATAATAAAATGCGAAAAAGACAAAAACCCCGGTTCGCGTTAATATTCAAGCTTGGTAATGCGGTCAGGATAGAGAACGAAGGGGACTAAAAAACCCGGGTGAACGTCAATATTTATTGGCTAGAAGACTGTATGAAAGGCAAGCGACCAAGTATGAAACCAAACCGGGTTATACTTAGATATCCCGGTAATTTGATATATTCTTGGCGTTGAGAGCTTACTATAGTTCGTTAGCTAAATCAGCTACAGAAAAAGCAGGCGACAGTGTACCTTAGTCCTTGGAAACAACTCTGTTTTACTTTGTATAGCACACAATTCACTTAGTTAGACAATTATTTAGCGTTTAATTTATTCTTTAAATTTAGCATTTAAATTTATTTTACTTTACCTTACTTTGCTCCCGGGAGACTGAAACCCCCAAAAAACCCCAAAAAACCCCCGTCGCCTTTGTTTGACCAGATTAGCGACTTAATTTGGCTGTTTGCTCACCGAGTTGTTACAGGGGGAAAAAGGGGAAAAAGAAGGAGGAAGATTCTCCCTGCCCCTAATGCGACAAAGGTTATACCTCGGGAGCAAATTGTCTAATCTCTAATACTGTTTGAGCCTTAACAGACAAATTATTTTCAGAAAACTCCGTTTAGACAAGAGTAAATCTTCAGCATAGATCCCACACGTCTTCCTCTGTCTCAACTCAAGCAGAATGAACACCAACGAACAGCGCTACAGCACAGCCAAGAGGTCAGCAACAGCAAAGCCTTTTTTGGGGGATGGGGGGGGGATTTATTCCTTAATTGGATAGTTATATAGTGGAGAGAAACAGGAAAATTGGGGAGAAGAATGGGGAAGACATGCGGTAAATGACCCGAGCTGGAATCGAACCTGGGACGCCGCAGGAAGGACACCGCCTTTATGGTCCACGCACTTAGACCAATGTGCCACCAGGGCGCTCCAGCAGATGGTGATGGTGTTTCGATGCGACTCTGATCCGCGTCTACGACTGACCACACTGCAAGATAGACCTCTTGTCCTCAGTGAATGTGACGGGATACGCGGTCCTCAGAACTTTGTTCATGACTGATAATTCCTATGAATATTCACTGTAAATGTCAATGATTATGGGATTACTTTGATTGTATTCTGCAAGTGCTTAAAATCTCTGAGTATACATTTCCAAGTGTCTCAACATCCTGGCGGTTGGGGGCCACAGGCCCCCAGACCCCAACCAATTTTTTGCTGCGCTGTGCTCGGCAGACACCTATAATTTACAGTACTGACCGGTGATTTCAAAAGGGTGGAGAACCCTGCGTATGTATCCCCCATGTAGGCTCTGAATAGATCTCCCTTTCTGCACATCTTTAATAACTCCCTGTAAAGTCTTTCATCTGCTCTTTCACCTTATGTTCTATCTGCCTCTCACTCTATGCCTCTCATGCCCGCTCCTAATACTTCTATCTCATTTTGAATGCCTCACCCACTACATCTTATCCATCTTATACGCCCTTTCTCTGAAAAGCTTTTTTCTTTCCTGAAAGTATATGTGTTTGTTCATTCTAATCATTACTGAACCACCCTTATTAGAAAAAAAATTATTGTTTGCACTTATTTCCCAACATGGCGGCATGAGTCATTTATGAGCATGCTTGTACAACCCAAATCAGAGAGAGTTGGAACAATATGTTTACTCAAACTGAATGCAGTGATTTTAAAATTATCTTTGACCTGCATTGTGTTGAAAACTATACAAAAGCACATTATTTGATGCTTCACCTCATAAGTCTTATTGACTTTTCAAAATAAACACATTTCAATTTTGATTCTTGCAATACATTTAAAAAAAAGCCAAGACAGTTAAGTATTTGCCACTTTTTAATGCTGCCATTCCTTTTTATCACACTTCATAAACATTTAGGGACTGATGACACTAAGTGATTGTGAGTTTCAGGAGTAATTTTGTCCCATTCTTCTTACAAAAAGCCTTAAACCCTAAAACTTTTCACCTTAAAGTGTCCAGGACTCTTTTTTTTCTTCTGGTATTTGGTTCTTTGACATATGTACAAAAGCATTCTGACATTCTTTTAAAATGTAATTCTGCCTGTTTTTGGGTTCAAATTTTCCGCTATTTTGACTTGCAAGTTGTCGCAAGGACACGTGTCATGTGACTTACTATTTTGAGGTCAGTTGATTTGACTCACAACACAACATGGCGGTAAGCAAGAGGACGGCAGTGAAGAAAGGAGGTGGATATTCTGTGGCTGGAGCGCTGAGCAGAGTTGTACGAGTAAGTTTTACACCCCGGGCATATCCATGTATGTGTTTCCCTAAAATCCCACTAAGGGCGCTTTCACACTAGGGACTCGGGCACAGATCCGAGTACACTTGACCTCAAAGTCCAGTTCATTTGGTAAGTGTGAACACAAGCGTACCATGCTCGAGTATGGTACGCGAGTCCGCTTGGAAGAGGTGGTCTTGGGCACAGGTCATCCGTACTGGTACCAAATGTGAAAGCAACCGTACTTGAGCACGAAGTAGACCCTTACGTGACGTCTTAACAATTCAACTCGTTTGTTCTAATACACAAGGAAATTAAATGCTTATTCTAAATTTGGGCCGATGAAAACATATAATGACAGCTGGATACTACACACAAAAAGGCAGAGATTTATGGAATAATTTGTGAGTATTTAAATTTGTGTGGTTATCACAGAACAATATACTGCAAAAGTGTTGCGACAAACTAAAGAAAATCTCAAAGTGCGGGATGTGATACAAAATTCTGGCAGCTCAAGTGATGAAAAAGATACACTTCCATGGTATGAGGCAGTGCACAGCATAGTCTGCCAAAAACCAATGAGTGTGCCAAACGTTATTGAAAAGCATCTCATCACACTACCTACCGCACCATCAAGGAAGGGTTAGCTTCTCCTACTTTGTTTGTTTCCCTATTTAAAACCCACCGTGGTTAATGGCTAGACTTAGCTTGGAGCCGGTCTAGAATGGAGAAGTAAGGCGCCTCCTTCCCTCCATTAGCCTGCGTGCTCACTTTGGGCAAGTGACAGTACACCCCCAACCTCCCTTGGCCAGGCTTACGGCTTACAAACCTGTAAAGAAGTGAAACGCGCGAACTGGAGCCAGGCCACCAGCTAAGCTGAATGTGTCTAAGCTGCAAAACAAGAGCACCCAAGAAAAATTTCAAGAACATGCTGAAGACAGCTGCATTTGACACTGCTGGAGAAGCCCTTGGACGACCAGAGCAGAGACATCAGGACTGGGTTGACACAGATGATGAGAAGCTCATAGCTTTGCTTGAAAAAAGGAATACAGCAAGGATTAAACTCCTGCAGACACATACGAGAGCTAACAGAGCGAAACTAGTGCAAGCCAGCAGTGGCCTTCAGTAGTACACTAGAGAACTGAAGTCTCAGTGGTGGGAGGAGAAAGCTGAAGGACTACAATATGCTGCAGAGATGAATGATATGAAGGGATTCTATCACAGTTTAAGAGAGGTTTATGGGCCTCAGAGGAGAGGCACAACCCAACTGACTGCCCTTGATGGTGAGACAGCTTTGAAAGAGAAGGATGAAATACTGAGTAGGTTTGCCCAGCACTTCAAGCAGTTGTTAAACATACCCGGAGATGTAGACTATACAGTGCTAAACTCAATTGTAGATCAGCCTACCATCTTATGTCTAGATGTGAAACCAAACTTTGAAGAACTGTTGAAAGCCATTGCTGCAACCAAAGAAAACAAAGCGCCAGGAAGATGTGGAATACCAACTGTGGTATGGAGATACGGTGGAAGCAAACTAAAAGAAAGACTGTTTGATCTGATTGTTGACATCTGGGAACAAGAGCGCATACCACAGGACTGGAAGGATGCAAACATCATGCCAGGATTTAAGAAAGGGAGCAGAAAAGACTGTGGTAATCATAGAGGTATATATCTTCTGTCTACTGCTGGTAAAATAATGGATCGCAAACTCCTTTACAGAGTCAACGAAAAGGTTACTCCAAACATCCTACCTGAGACGCAGTGTGGTTTTCGGAGTGGAAGAAGCACCATTGATATGGTCTTCAGCCTACGTCAGATCCAGGAGAAGTGTATAGAACAAAACGTGCCTTTGTATGCTGTATTTATTGACTTTACAAAGGCTTTCAATACAGTGTCAAGAGAAGGCCTCTGGATTGTCCTAAAGAAGTATGGCTGTACAAAGTCGTCAACTTGATAAGATATTTTCACAATTGCATGCAAGCTCAAGTAGTTCAGGGAAATGCCACCTCCATGGAATTTGCTGTAACAAATGGTGTCAAGCAAGGTTGTGTGCTCGCTCCGACATTGTTCTTGTTGTACCTGACTGCAATGCTAGAAGTAGCATTCAAAGATATCACAGAAGGTATTTTCATAGAGACACAACACGGTGCAGACCTCTTCAATATGTCCCAATTCAAGGCAAAGACACGTACAACAAGGCATCTTGTGAGAGAAATGCTGTTTGCTGATGATAGTGCTGTGGTGGCACACAGCTCTGGGGATATTCAAATGCTAGTAGACAGATTTGCCAAAGCTGCTGTTCAGTTCAGCCTTAAGATCAACATAAAGAAGACCGAGTGCCTTTACCAGCCAGTGAAACTGCTCAACCCTCCACCTGCACCTGAAATCATAACAATAAACCAAGAGCTACTCGTGCAGTGTACAGACTTTAAATACCTTGGAAGTACAGTCTCCAACAATGCCAAAATCGACAAAGAGATCAGGAATACGATGGGCAACGCGAGTGTTGCCTTCGGCAAACTGCAAGATCGGTTATGGAAAAACAGACGTTTCCCTCAGAGTAAAATGCAAGGTTTATAGATCTGTTGTACTGTCAACCTTACTATATGGTGCTGAAACCTGGACTGTCTAACGCTATCAGATCAAGAAGCTCCATGCTTATATGATGAGACAGTTGAGGACTATTATGAACATATCCTGGAAGGACAAAGTTACCAACTTAGCAATCCTGCACTGTGCTGGACCACCATCTATGGAAGACATCTTAATTGAGAAGGGCCTCAAATGGCTAGGCCATGTACATAGAATGGAAAATGAAAGACTTTCAAGACAACTGTTGTATTCTCAGCTATGTGAAGGCAAACGGAACCAAGGAAGACCTAATCTTAGGTATAAGGATGTGGCAAAAAAGAAACATGAAATCACAAGGAATAGACTTAAAAAGTTGGCAATAAACAGCGATTAATAGGGCTGTATGGAGAAGTATCATTAAATCCAAGTCTATATCATAGCACAGTCTTTGTCGTTTTCGACCAACTGCAAGAGAAAACCACGAAGGTGTACACTGCGTCCTGCTGTATCGGAATTTTGACATGCGCAAGTGTACTCTGGTACGGAACGACATTACTAGTCTGAAAGCTGACCGGAGAGGGGAGGGGGAACAATCGTACTGTGGCATGGTATGGAAAAATCGTACTTAGTGTGAAGGTGCCCTTAGAGGGAAAAGTGGGTCAAATTCGTGTAGCAGCACCACACTGATTTCGACAAGCAAATGTAAGTGAAATGACTAAAAGCTGAACCACGCTGAGAGTCCAATCAATTGCACTGAGGTCACGAGTTAGGCATTCTTGGACCCAGTTTCCGGAACAGTTTTAGAGGGAGAATCAGGGTATTTCGAATAGTAGAACAAAAAATATTTTTTTTTCATTTCTAGATAGGTTTTTGTTTATTACAAATTTCAAACAATCAAAAACGGGAAAAAAATTTCTGTCATATATACTTTAAGTACGTTCAAAGTCATCAGAAGCTATTTTTTATATTGTAGGACTATGTCACATACATTTTCTGTTTCTGCTCATCGCAGCGCTTCACTGAAGCTGTACATAAGACATAAAATATTCAAACCCAGGATGCCACGTTTTTATGACCACAACATTACATCAAATGGAAATATCTA